TGAGATGCAGTAAAACGTGTTTATCACTGCTGTCCCTACAAGGCATTTCCTGTGTGAGGGGCTGTTAGTAGGCATCTCACACAAAACCTCCCTAAAATCTAAACAAACTGTTTTCCTTACAATAGTCATCAAAATAACTTTAGCTTAATGAAACAGAATTAGTGTATAACTTATGCCCCTGCAGTCTCACTTCTCAATTCTCTGCCGTTTAAATGTTAATCACTTTTGTTTCTATAAGGCCTAACCTCACTTCCCCTGGCTGTGACTCACACAGTCTGCCTCAAAAAAATAAAAAAATAAAATAAATTCTGCCTGTACAAAAATAAATTTTTAGGCATAATACTAAAAGATCCATTTAAGAATCTCCTACAACAATATTTGATTAATGAATACTCCAAATATGAGGATAAGTAAGAGGGACTAAAAAGTTGTTTAGTTAGTCTCACCAGCAAGATCCATTCAACCTTTCTCTCAATAATAGATTAATTATTAATAAGGGTGACCCTCCAACCTCCCTTAATTATTATGCCTAATAATTGATTTTTGTACATCTAGTCTTATATTAGGCAGGATTTATTCTAAAACTTTAGGGGCACATTATCTAAATACAGGGCCGGCGCGTCCATAAGGCGGCACAGGCGGCCGCCTTAGGGCGCACCGGCTCCGGGGGCGCAAGATTTCAGTGACCGGCAGGAGGGAAGCTCTCCCTCCTGCCAGGCCACCTTCTGGACCCCCGGCGCGGCAGTGGTGTGATCAGACGCGGCAAGGGAACTCTAATCTCCACGCTCTGCTCCCTCGTGCACTGTCCCGCGGCATCAGCAGACAGTGCGCGAGGGAGCAGAGAGTGGAAATTAGAGCTCCCTTGCCGCGTCTGATCACACCACTGCCGCACGCCGCCCAGCAGCCCCACTGGACCCCAGGGAATGATTCATCATCCACACCAGCTCTCCAGGTAGGGAGGCTGGGTGGAAAATGTTTATTTATTAAAATAATTAGTGTGTGTATGTGATGTGTCTGTGTGAGTGTGTGTCTGTGTGTCTGTGAGTGAGTGTGTGTGTGAGTGAGTGTATGTGTGTCTGTGTGTCTGTGAGTGAGTGTGTGTGTGAGTGTATGTATGTGTGTCTGTGTGTGAGTGTCTGTGTGTGACTGTGTGTCTGTGAGTGAGTGTGTGTGTGTGTCTGTGAGTGACTGTGTATGAGTATGTGTGTGCATGAGTGAGTGTATGTGTGTCTGTGAGTGACTGTCTGTGAGCGAGTGTGTGAGTGAGTGTATGTGTGTGAGTGTGTGTGTCTGTGAGTGATTGTATGAGTGTTGTATGTGAGTGTATGAGTGTGTCAGTGTATGTGTGTGTCTGTCTGTGTTTGTGAATGTCTGTCAAATCAGTGAGAGTATCTTTGTCATTGAGTCTGTGTGTTTCAATCAGTATGTGTGTGTCAATGAATGAGTGTGTGTCAGATCAGTGAGTCTGTGTGTTTGTCATTGAGTGTGTGTGTGACTGTCAGTGTGTATACACCACTGAGTGTAGTGTGGCGGAGCGCAGTACAGGAGCTTCTGTTTCCTGTACCCGGCCAGACTGACCGGAGGTGCTCACTGAGAGAGCACTCCCTGTCAGTCTGGCCAGGTACAGAAAATTGAAGCTCCTGTAGGGGATATCCTCCACTCGGCAACTCTACAAGAGAGGTAGGAGACACACCAGGAAGGGGAGTGTGACCACTAAGGGGGTGGGGGGTGCACCAAGGGACAGGGAGGGGAGAGAAACACCAAGGGACAGGGAAAAGAGGGGAGAGCTTAGAAGAACACTAAGGGGCAGGGAAGGGAGGGGACCACTAATGGACGGGGAGAGGGGCTAGTTAAGAGGCACATAGGTGAAGATGTTATTTTGGGGGTGGGGGGGAAAATACATCTTCGCCTATGTACCCAAAAATCCTTGCACCGGCCCTGTCTAAATATGTGTATTGGGACAGTGTTTCTATGTCTCTAATGGAGAACCTGCTATACTAATATTATTGTGGTTATACATTATCCACAAGTGGGTTTCTATTTTATATTTTTTCACTCCACGGTTTACACCTGGAATATCACCAGAAAAGTGATCTGTAGTTTTTTCAAAGAAATATAAAATCCATTTTTGTGAGACCTTTTGTCTGGCTCTTTGCGGCATTAGGGGTTATCCCTGTCTAAGACCCTGGTGAATTGCTCCTTCTGTGAAATGGTTGGTTATGGTGTACTTTATTAAACCAAAAAACACAGTGTTTAACCCCAATCATGCAATACAGCCACATGGCTTTTTAGTGTGCATATGCATTGTCTCTAACGCTAATTGTTCTACCATTATTTTATCTATTGTAGGGTCTTTCAACTCATATGCCCCTTTTGGGCCTGTTTGTCTATTTTGTAATCTACACAGACAAACACCTTGACACACATACAAATACACAAAACACACACACACTCTAACACACATACAGATACACAGAAACACAGATTAACACACACTGACACACATGTAGATACAGATACACAGACACACATACAGATACGCAAGCACACAGACACACAAATACACCAGTGACACTCAAACAGATGCAAACACTGATATACATACAGATATACAGGAACACACTGACACACAGATACACATAAAGACACACAGATAACGTATAAAGACACACAAATGCACATACAGACACACAGATACACATTCAGACACACAGAAACACATTCAGACACAAAGACACACATACTGACACAAAGACACACACACACTTAATACATGCACACAGATAACAACACATACACACAAAGATATTTCTTAGATACCATTGGACCCCAGGAAAGCCACCCTCCTCCACCAAAAAAGTATGGAAACACTTTTAAATCTGAGGCTGAGTGTGATGGGAGTCTTCTCTCCCTTGTCTTTGGTCCTGTCTCTCAGTTTCACTCCTCTTTGGTCCTCCCCTCTGTGAGGCCTAATAGTAAACAGGGAAGAAAGTGAGTACAGGCAACTAATTTCCTCCTAGCACCATGGCAATACAATGACAAGGGGGCCTGGTCGAGCTGTTGAAGGGCCGTGGTCAATGATGTTCCATGCACTTAGGGCCACCTGAGCTTGTGGATAGTTCTGCCACTGTATTAGATAACTCTTTACAGGAGGTGTTTAGAACGGCTATGCAAGTCACATGCAGGAAGATTTGACTAGGGTTGTTTGAACAAAGTGATTTACCTCCTAAATTGTAGAGAATTGAGCATTGAAACTGCAGGGCATGATCTATACATCAAAACTACTTAATTAAGGTAAAGTTGTTTTGGTGCCTATAGTGTTCCTTTAGTCCTTAAACCCAATAATCATAAACACCCCTTATGTCACAAATGTATTGCCTCTCAAGCTTTTAATCCTCTTAACACATGTAATCTGACTTTGAAAGTGTCACTTTGCTAAAGCCTATGACCCTTGGCGAAACGTGTTAGTTTTTCACCCTATGTATGGTTTTAATCTTTATTTTTAAAAAAATTAGTTTTTACTGTACTTTTCTTGAAGATTTTATACAGATGATTCTAACATTGAATTACTTGGTGGGTAATATACCACCCTGTCACATCCTGCTGTGTTCTGCTGAGATGTCAGGCCTTGGCTTCTGGTATCCAGTACTCTTTATACAATTCTTGTTTAGTTTTTCTTGTTTTTTCTGGTTTTCTATTCCATGTCTGGTTTTCTTTATGCTGGGTTTTCCTGGTTCATTCCTTCTGGAGGAGGTCTATTTGCTAAACAGTTCAGTGGTCTCTGCAGGTGTCCTCTTGTGATACTTGGTTCCTGGTTCTGGTTCCGGTTCTGATTCCTGTTTTGTGTCAGTATTCCTGTTCTGGAGTGGATCTTCATCCGGGGCTGATGGTTCCTTTGCAGGAAACCTCTCTGGCGGGGGATCCTTGCCTCCGGGAAGTCAAGAGGACTTCGTTGCAGGATCCTCGCTCCTTTCCTGGTAGCTGCTGGAGAGCTGCTAGTCGCGCCCGGAGGTCACTCCTTATGAAGGGAGTTATGTCACATCCTACTCTGTTCTGTGGAGATGTCTGGCCTTGGCTTCTGGTATCCAGTACTCTTTTTACAATTCTTGTTTAGTTTTTCTTGGTTTTTCTGGTTTTCTATTCCATTCCTTTATTCCGTTCCTGGAATTCCCAGTCTCCTCGATTCCTTTATATGTTTGTTTTATGTTGCCACATCCGTTCCTTTTCCATTAATCCTTTTGTTTCAGTTGGTTCCTGCAGGAAGTTGTTCTAAGTCCCCTTTCTTGCAGGTAAGTGCTGTGTGTGTTTTATTATTGTTTATCTAGTCATGCATACCTAGGCAGTCTAGGACCCACCTTAATTGGAGTACTTTGGCGCAGTGGTGGCTGCATACATCTTGGCCATTTATGTATGTATAAATCTCCAATGTTTTACATATATAGTACTTAGTTATGTCTCCTCTTGTTTTGCCTAGTATCTCTTGTCTTGTTTTATTTTGTCTTGTATTCCCAGTTCATGTATAGTCCTGTCCTGCCCTGTTCATGTCTTGTGTACATGTTCTGGTTTCTGCTTTCTGTCCTGCTATGGTTCTGGGTTCTCCTAGTTTTGTCTTGTTTTCTTGTTTGTGTCTATTCTAGTCTTACCTTGTTTCTGTACTGGACACATATTTGCTGCAGAGCCTCCCTATTCAGATCCTGGGAGGTCTGCTACTTGTCATCTGGCACCTGGGACCCGCAGAAGCTGCATCAGGCCCCTGGTATGTGGCCACACAAATGCTGGTGCTCAACGCATCAGGGGGTGTGAGGGTACCCTGCACCAAGCCCTGATAATCCATTTCCACACAGTGACTCCTAATATCAAGATCAGGCATATTGGGTCGCGGTCACCGGACCGCCACCCCTGACACACCCATGGTATATGGATTGAGCAAACCCGTCCTTTTGTTCCCCACCCGTGAGTATATCTATTACTTTTATTATATTATTATTTTCATTCCATACCGGTAATTCTTGCTACCACACTTCTGCGCATCCAAATGAAAATCCCCTAACACCTGGAAAGAGAGGCCACATCTGTGTACACGTGTATGCAGAAGTCACGTACTGGCCGTAAAAGTCTTTCACCAAAAGAGCAGAACAACAATCATATCCATAGGTGAGGTTGTACCACCCAGGCATACATATTTGGAGTTGATTACAGGCTCCTAAAATCAGAAGTCTGAAATGCTTATATGTGATACTGTACAAAGCACTTAGCATTTGTTGATGAGCATGTGAATGACAAATCAAATGGTTTGGTTCACCAAAATCCTGTTGCAATAGACCAACTCGTAACTTACCTATGCATTTTCTCATTTAAGCAACATTTCAAGGATCAGCAAAGGTGAGCAAAAAAGTTCTTTATACTAGAATGTTTTACAAAAAAATTAGCTTTGTTCATTGGGTGTATTTGTGCAGTTTCACATTCATTGGCATCATTTAATATGTTGGATAAACTTTTCAAATGATTTAATATTTTAGTTTTAAACTCTTTTATTTGTCGTGGTGCGATGGAGAGTAAAACAGATGTACAATATTTAATTTTTTTTAAACATCATGATAATTAAATAAAATAATATAAAACATAAACAAAGAGAATGCTCTCTCACCCTCTGCATTTTTAAAGTAGGCTCAATACATAATTTATTGGCTTTAATAGAATTATAGGCTGAGGCAACATGGGGTGGGTGGTGTTAGGCAGGGGTGTCACATTCCGTTCCATGATTGGTGGTTGATCTAGTATAACTCTAGTAAGATACCAGTCTGTGAATTCAAATGTGGATTTTATTTTGGACTGGAGGGATCTATCCAAAGAATTAATATAATTAAAAAATAAAAATATTAAATTGAGGCCGTAGCAGAATTACTTTCCATTCCATTCATCAGCCATTATAAATCTGGCCACTAGGTGGAGGTGTACAGTTGCTAAACTTGGCATAACTATACAGCCTTTGAGAAATAAAAATGCTTTTGTCTTACTGACTCTCTGCTCTACACAGTCTGGTAACCTTTGTTTGTTTATTTGTAATTTATTGATGTCACTTTTATATAGAAAATGCTCTGTTTATGCTCGTATTACTTTGAAGCATCATTCACTGCTCATTCAAGTGCTGAATACTTCCCAAATATTTTCATTCAGAACATAAAACCACCCCCCACAAAAGCAGCCATTACAATTTGATTTAAAGTATTTCTAATTTGACAGGGACATTTACTATCGAGGCACACGCTGGAGTTTAGCTCACCTGAAGAACAGAAAAGCCACCCACATAGCTATAGACACACTTCTATCGTAATATACAAAGTTATCTCATATCTAGGTTCCAAGCTCTGTACTTGAGCTGATGAGTTAAAATATTGCATATATAATGTTTTTAATTTTTTTTAATTTTACTCTCTAGTATATTCTGTGTCACTATCATGACCTTTTTTCAAGGTCATCTTCATTTAATGCAAAACGATCTGTTATTGTGTTCATCTCTTAACTGTCTCATTGTATTGTCATCAATCTTCAATGCCGAAGCACAGTGGGACACATTTATTTCACTGGATAGACTTTTTCTTTGCATGCAACATATCTTTGGAGGGCATATTGTTGTGCTGCTAAATCAATATTCTGCAATTTATCTTGAGGCAGAAAACTATTTGTACAATAACATCGTATAAGATCAAACTGGTGTAGGGTGTCCTTTTTATTGTAACATAATAGATTCTTCAGATCATCTTTGAGTGTTTCTTGAACGTTATTTAATGTGATAAAAAAAATAAAGTATAGGCTGAAATTTTGATAAGTTCTATGATCAAAAATGTTGGTGCACATAGAAGAGTTGAAATTTCACACATTTTTTACTTGTGCTGTTACTTTTTCTAAATGGTAACCCGGTACACCAGAAAAATATAAATCAACATCATTTCCAAAACTGGCCAAGTGTACTTAATCTGAAATACATGAATCCACATATTATTCATATTAATAGAGTTAATAGATACCTGACACTGCGGATGACAGCTGAGCAGTATATGTGGTTTTATAACAGTAGTTGTCATTCTGAGAATTAGTTCAGCAAACAGCAAAGGATGTGCTATCTGCTACACATCATAGACAGCCACACATCATACTATCCTGACTTCTTATCTAACCTTCCACAAAGTTAGGTGAAATGTTACTGCTAGGATTTGGCACAGAAAATCACACTATTCTGTCATCTTTTTGGCATGGCGGAGCAACAGAATAAATGTGATAAATGTAATCATGTAATTGTGTAATGAAGATATCAATTTTACTCTGTAGATAATACCATACGCAAGAATATTAAATGCTGGATATATATATATATATATATATATATATATATATATATATATATATATATATATATAGTGACAAACTTACTTTCCTGTGTGTGTTTGTCCAGGATCTTTTGGCAACCGCACAGCCCTCTAGGGTAAGAAAACCAGGTCAAGACAAAGTCCAGTTTCAAAAGGGCCTCTGGCCTGTTTATTTTCTGTTGTTGTGAAGTAACAGGATACAATGAACAGCAAATCTTCTTTCTCCACAAAACACTTTCTTTCTCCTCCAAAACACTTCCCTCCCTTCACCCTGCTTTAACTGCAGTTATATAGCTGCTCCCAGCCCCTACAGGTGAGGCTAATGACCTCGTTAGGCAGTGAGCCAGAGCTCTATGGGAAACCTGGGCTGGACTCATGCACAACCACTCTGACAGTGGGTGGAGAATCGGCCCACCCTGCTCTTCCGAATACTCCACCCCAGGGACCCAAATAACAACAGAGGAAAAAAAACTACATTTAAACTTAACTTTCCCTGGGGCTGCATGTGCTTACCCACATGTCAGGATAGTGGCTGTGCAAAAGTCTGGGTGCCAGATATACACCCCTGACCACCATCCCCAACACTCTGTTACATATCCTCCCCCCCAGCTCAGACCTAGTGGGGTGAGCGACCACAGAAAACAAATTTTCTCGCGACAAACTGTCAGCATTTCCATGTTTAGACCCTGGCCTATGTTCAACCGTAAAATGAAATGGTTGTAAGCTGAGGAACCACCTTGTCACCCTGGCATTATTATCTTTGTTTTGACTCATCCAGGTTAAGGGGGCATGGTCTGTGACCAACCTAAATTTTCTACCCAGCAGATAATATTTCAATGAGTCTAAGGCCCATTTTATGGCAAGGCATTCCTTTTCCACTATAGAATAATTTTTCTCAGCGGGAGTCAGCTTCCTACTTAAATAAAACACTGGGTGTTCTTCACCCTGAATTTCCTGAGACAGAACTGCCCCTAACCCAAGCTCTGATGCATCGGTTTGGACAATAAACTCTTTAGTGAAATCCAGGGTTACCAGAACCGGTTGGGTGCACAAAGCCTCTTTCAAAGTTACAAACGATTTTTCTGCCTCTACTGACCACTTAACCACTAGTGGGGCTTTACCTTTTGTGAGATCCGTTAAAGGAGCTGCTAATGTAGCAAAACCAGGAATAAATCGCCTGTAATACCCAATAAGTCCCAAGAAAGTCCTAACTTGCTTTTTAGTGAGGGGGCGTGGCCAATTTTGTATGGCCTCTACTTTTGCTGTTTGGGGCTTAACTAGTCCTCTCCCAATCGAATAACCCAGATATTTTGCCTCTTCCAAACCTATAGTACACTTAGATGGGTTAGCAGTTAAACCAGCTAAGCGGATAGAGTCCAGTACTGCCTGCACTTTGGGAAGATGTGAAGCCCAGTCAGGACTGTGAATGACTATGTCATCTAAGTATGCGGCCGCATAACGGCTGTGAGGCTTCAAAATCCTATCAATCAGTCTCTGAAAAGTGGCAGGGGCCCCATGTAACCCAAATGGTAGCACCTTGTATTGGAATAATCCCCCTGATGTAGAAAAAGCTGTCTTTTCTTTTGCTCTGTCTGTAAGAGGTACTTGCCAATAACCCTTTGTCAGGTCTAAAGTAGTCAGGTACCGAGCCTTACCCAGTCTCTCTATCAGTTCATCAACCCTAGGCATTGGATAAGCATCAAACTTTGACACACTATTTAATTTACGAAAATCATTACAAAATCTTATCGAGCCATCAGGTTTTGGCACCAGTACTATAGGGCTGTTCCACTCGCTTTGGGATTCCTCAATAATATCAAGATCTAACATTTTCTTAATTTCAGCAGTTACAGCCTCTTTCTGTGCTTCTGGGATTCTGTATGGTTTAAGGCTTATCTTCACCCCTGGTTCTGTAACAATATCATGCTTGATAACGTTAGTCCTGCCCGGAACTACGGAAAATACATCCCGGTTTCTACCAATGAAGTCCCTTACTTCCTGTTTCTGGTGGGGGGACAGGGTGTCTGGTATATTTACTTCAAGTTCACTACTAGTCTTATCAGTGACAACTGAAGTAGTTAAGACCTCTCTGTCCTTCCAGGGTTTTAGTAAATTAATATGATATATTTGCTCAGGTTTCCTCCTATCGGGTTGTCTCACTTTATAATTAACTTCTCCAACCTGTTCAATAACCTCATATGGGCCATGCCAAGATGCTAGAAATTTATTTTCTACTGTAGGGACCAAAACAAGTACCCTGTCTCCTGGGTGAAAAACTCTCAGTCTGGCATTTTTATTATAACTGTTTTTCTGGGCATCTTGGGCTTTCTGCATATGTTCTTTAACTATTGGCATGACAGCCGCCATCCTATCTTGCATTTGAGCTATGTGCTCAATTACACTACGGTACGGATTGGATTCCTGTTCCCAGGTTTCTTTTGCTATATCTAGTAGACCTCTGGAATGATGGGCATATAGAAGCTCAAAAGGAGAGAAGCCCGTAGAAGCTTGTGGCACCTCCCTTATGGAGAACATTAGATAGGGTAGTAAGCAGTCCCAATTCTTACCATCTTTGTCAATTACTTTTCTTAACATACTTTTTAAGGTCTTGTTAAACCGTTCTACCAGTCCGTCTGTCTGGGGATGATAAACAGAAGTCCTAAGATGTTTAATTTGAAGTAGTTTGCATAATTCCTTTGTAACTTTAGACATAAATGGTGTACCCTGATCTGTCAAAATTTCTTTTGGTATGCCCACCCGGCTAAACATGAGCATGAGTTCTCTCGCTATTGTCTTTGCAGAGGTGTTACGTAGGGGTATTGCTTCTGGGTACTTGGTAGCATAATCCAGAATCACCAATATATACTGATGCCCCCTTGCAGACTTTACCAGAGGACCCACCAAGTCCATTGCAATCCTCTCAAAAGGTATTTCTATTATAGGCAATGGTACCAGAGGACTGCGATATGCCTTAAAAGGGGCGGTGTGTTGGCATTCAGGACAAGAAGAACAATAATTTGCAACTGAAGCGAACACCCCAGGCCAGTAAAACCTCTGTAAGACTCTTTCTCTTGTTTTTTCTATGCCTAAATGTCCCCCCAGGATATGGCTGTGTGCAAGATTTAGGACTGTATGTCTGAAGGGCTTAGGAACAAGTAGTTGTTTTACAACATCCATCCCCTTTTTCTCTACTCTATAGATCAAATCATTCTGTACCTCAAAATAAGGAAAAGAAGGGGCTCTATCTAGTTGTACTGGATCATCAGTTGAAACCTGGATATTTTTTCGGGCCTCTGCAAGAGTGGGGTCTTCCCACTGCGCTTTCCTGAAGTTAAAAGGACTGACTTCTAATTCAGGGAAGTTTTTTTTTTATATATAATCTTTATTCGGAGACATCAACTCCGCTTTTTTTCTTTTTTTTAACACAATAGAATTAACAACAGAGAAAAATACAAATAACAAAACATCCCGTATAAAACATGTACAGTAAGATACACATAACATCCTTAACATCATTACTTTTTCCATAAAAGTTTGAAGTAGTATAGTTACGTTTAGTAAAACACCTATGTTGTTTAAAAATCTCACTGTAAACAACTCACATACAAAAGGACATGACAGGACAAAACATCAAATGGTCATATGAGGTCACTCTTAATATAGTATCAATATCAACTTAGGCCCAGAGAAATTTAGGACATATATCTATAAGTCAACAACAGCCTCCAACTTCGCCAACCAGGAGTTATAGCGTTCTTGATATTTTATATTTAACCCAGCTTCCATTTTCAATTGATATTTAATTTGTTCCTTAACTATGGGCCAGGAGGGCACCAACTCCATTTTCCAATACCTTGCAATAGAAAGTTTCGCGGCTAGTAGTATATGCAAGATAACCGGCAATGAACTACCACTAACCTGGTGGATATCTAATTGCAAAAGGCATATCTGTGGTACCAAAGGTAAATCAATCAAAGTAATAAGTTTTATCCTAGATAAGATCATTTTCCAAAACTTCTGTATATACTTACAGTCCCACCATATATGTAGATAGTTCCCAAATTCCACATTGCATCTCCAGCAATTGGCGTTACCTGAATTACTAAACTTCTTGATTTTACTGGGGACCATATACCACCTATTTATGATTTTAAAATGGCATTCCACCAGATTAAGACAGTGGATATGTTTATAGGTAAGATTTAAAGCTTCTCTCCATTGGTTACAAGTAATCTGATTTCCCAAATCACTTTGCCAAGAATTAATTATAGCTTCTAAGGGTTCATCTGAGTTTTTTTGTAATAGGTTTAATCCCATAGATAATAGTTTTTTTGGAGAATCCCTATCGAGGATGTTTCCCATGTCCCTTAAGCGATCACACCTTTCTGTGGTAACATATTGGTGACAAAAGCCTTTTAGTCTAAGGTAATTGAAAGTCTCCTTATTGTCTATTTTATATGTTTGTTTTAAAGTTTGGAAATCCATCCATCCATTTCTATCCCTTAAATCTTGAAATTTGTATATGCCTTTTTCAATCCAGCTTTTTACGTTAAAATTGGTCATATAGTAAGCTATATTTCTTAAAGAAAGGGAAGGGATTAACTTATTATAAAGACCTAGTGAATTTTTAGTTTTTTTCCACCCCCTTAGAACATTGTTCAGAATAACACTTGATGAAATGGGGCTTACTCTATGATCGGTTTGTAATTTTAGGGGCCAAAAGAGCACAGACAACTCTATCGGTGGACCCTCAGTTGAAATAAGATCTTGTTCTATTTTGTACCATATCTCATTCTTGCTATCATTTAGTTGAGTAATGATTGCGTGTGTAAAGGTCGCAGCATTTTGGAAGTCTTTTAGAATAGGGACCCCCAGGCCCCCCTTTTTCACTTTTAAGGCTAAGCGTTTTTGGGATATTCTTGGAGGCTTATGTAACCATATAAATTTATTCAATAGGGATTGAGCTAGGGTCAACCAGCTGTCCGGGCACGGTAATGCCACCATTCTAAATAGATAAACCCATTTTGGGATAATATAAGATTTAACTACATTGATACGGCCCCACCATGAGATCTCTAAATTTTTCCAATTTTTTAGTTTCTTTGCCGTAGTTCTAAGAAGAGATAGGAAATTGAGTTCCATGATAATATTAACGTCATTTGCTATATCAATTCCCAAATAATTAAAAGAAACCTCCGCCCAATTAAATTCATATCTCTGCTTAAGTATTGCCCTTGTATTCTGAGGGGTATTCATTAGTAATGCAGTCGACTTATTGACATTAATTTTATAGCCTGAGTGTAAAGCGTATTCATCTAAGGTATTAAAGAAAGCTATAGAGGAGTTTAAAGGATCTGCTAGGGTTAATACAATATCGTCAGCATACATTGTTAATTTAATGCAATCATTTTTGAAATTAAGGCCCTTTATTACCTCGTTTTTCCTTATTGCTACCGCTAGAACTTCTATTGTCAATAAGTAGAGAAGAGGTGAGAGCGGGCAGCCCTGTCTCGTCCCGTTTTTCAACGAGAAAAAATCTGAGCTGAATCCCGCTCCCACAACTCTTGCAGAAGGAGTTGAATACAAGGCCAGTATTGCTTTTCTTATATTCCCAAAAAAGCCAAAAGTTTGTAGGACCGCATCGAGGAAGTCCCACCTGACCCTGTCGAATGCTTTCTCAGCGTCTAAAGACAGGATCAGGAGGGTGTATTTCCTCGATTGGGCTAATTCAGGGAAGTTAATGCCTTGATCCTGATCGTTATCGGTCTCCTGACTATCGTGGCCCTGGTCATCTCCTACTAAAGCTGGCCTGTGACTTGAGACTTCAGCCTTCCCTGGCCTTATGCCTAGTCCTTCCCATTCTATGTCAGAAAAAGGGAACACATTTCTAGAATCATTTGCTATACAATCATGAACTATTTTTCCTGTAGACCCCCACAAGTCTAAAAATTGGGGAAAATCTCTTCCCAATACCACATCATAAGCCAATTTATCCACTACACCCACTCTATGATTAACAGTACCGAAAAGGCTTTCAAACTTTAGCAAAGCTGTAGGATATTCACGTTTGTCACCATGAACACAAATTATACCAATTTTCTGAAATGCATCAACATCGGCTTCAGGTACAAGGCATTTTGTTATCAATGTCGCCATACTTCCGGAGTCTAATAGAGCTCTAACCTCTTTCCCATTCACCCTTATGGAACATATCTGTGGATTGTGACTACAGTTGGCAACAGCAGATTCCATACAATTCAGCAAACAAGACAATTGTACATCCTGATTAATCATATTGCATTGCATCGGTTCATCAATCAAGGGACAGTCTCTAGCTTTATGTCCAGGTTCATTACACCGGAAACATTTCATATTATTAACTGTCCCCCACCTAAACCCTTTTCCAGGATTAACATTTCTAGGCATAAGCGTATGGGGTCCCTGAGAATATGTCTCTTGTTCCTCTGTGTCTCTGAAATCTTGAAAAATCTTACCAGGTCTTTCAGGAGCTGGAGTCTTAACTCTCTGCTTAGCCTTTGTGTTGTTGAGCCACTGTCTGTCATCTGCAGCCACATATCTTTCCACCAAACCAATTAACTCATCAGCTGTTTGTGGATCACTCTGACTGACCCATCGACGCAGTGAAGCAGGCAAGCCCCGCAGGAATCTGTCCATCACAAGAAGTTCCATGATATGGCTTGCCGTATTTATTTCTGGTTGTAACCACTTTCTAGCCAGATGTATCAGGTCAAACATCTGGGAGCGGATAGGCTTCTCTTGGTTGAAAGTCCAGGCATGAAATCTTTGGGCACGAACTGCCATAGTCACACCAAGTCGTGCAAGGATCTCAGCCTTCAATTTGGAGTAGACCCCTGCCTGTGCTGGTTCCAGGTCATAGAAAGCCTTCTGGGGTTCTCCAATAAGAAAAGGTGCCAGTATGCTTGCCCACTCACTCACCGGCCACTCTTCTCTCTCAGCTGTCCTCTCAAAAGCTAGCAGGTATGCTTCCACATCATCTGTAGGTGTCATCTTCTGCAGGTAACGGCTGGCTCTGATCATTTTAACCTCGGACTGCGTCCCATCCGAGACTCTGGTCAGTCCCTTGGTCAAAGCCTGTATCTCCTTCTGTATCATACTGGTGGCCTGATGTTGCTCCTCTCTGAGCAGGCGGTTTGCCTCAGCTTGGGCTGCCATAACCTGCTGGATCAAAGCATCTGTGTTGGCCTTTTGCGTAATTACCAGTTGCTGTAGGGCTGTAATATTTTCCTGTTGTGCAGCTGTAGCCTCCTGCTGTACGGCTGTAGCCTTTTGCTGTGCAGCTGTAGTTTGCAACAAGACTTTCACAACTTCCTCCATATTTCTACAGGCTTGTTTGGCTTCCAGTTAATACCCACAGGCTTCTTTAGTGCAGTGCCCGCATTCTCCACCATATGTGACAAACTTACTTTCCTGTGTGTGTTTGTCCAGGATCTTTTGGCAACCGCACAGCCCTCTAGGGTAAGAAAACCAGGTCAAGACAAAGTCCAGTTTCAAAAGGGCCTCTGGCCTGTTTATTTTCTGTTGTTGTGAAGTAACAGGATACAATGAACAGCAAATCTTCTTTCTCCACAAAACACTTTCTTTCTCCTCCAAAACACTTCCCTCCCTTCACCCTGCTTTAACTGCAGTTATATAGCTGCTCACAGCCCCTACAGGTGAGGCTAATGACCTCGTTAGGCAGTGAGCCAGAGCTCTATGGGAAACCTGGGCTGGACTCATGCACAACCACTCTGACAGTGGGTGGAGAATCGGCCCACCCTGCTCTTCCGAATACTCCACCCCAGGGACCCAAATAACAACAGAAAAAAAACTACATTTAAACTTAACTTTCCCTGGGGCTGCATGTGCTTACCCACATGTCAGGATAGTGGCTGTGCAAAAGTCTGGGTGCCAGATATACACCCCTGACCACCATCCCCAACACTCTGTTACAATATATATATATATATATATATGTAAAGATTGTGCTAAATCACAAATTGGTAGGTTCAAAGCATAAACCCCAGATCTGATACATTAACCCCAAATCTGCTGTATTATTATTTGTGTTATTATTTTATTATTTATATAGCGTCAGCAAGTTCTGTAGCGCTGTACAATGGTATTAAGCCTGTACCCTCTGCATTCATCCACAAAATGCAGCATTACGCCTGCATTCACAGCAATATCCCCATACTTTATAACTAACTACAAATATGTTGTATTAAAGTGGTATTGTCACATATTATGTAACTGGGCTTGGACTCGGGGTTACAATGAAAGGTTATCAAAAGCAGCTATAGGGCTTTAGCAATGCCGCTATGTAGGATTAATTTAATTAATCAGTATATATGTAATCATAATCTGTGTATAAAGCTATGTGAACGACTATCAGTTTGTGTGTACAGTAGGTGATTAAAAAAAGAGGAGCACAAATGTAGTGAAGAAAGTCGATGGTAATTATTTAAAGCAAAACAGTATCAGGGCTTAGTTAATATACCCCTATTTTTTGTATAGGGGTCAACCACGAAAATATATTAAATAAAGAGTCCCGGTTGCAATCTTAATGGGGTGCTTTCAAATGTCCGCAGGGATTTGATAGTTGTAACAGTAATTGATGTAGAAAGACTTTGTCTCTATATGTATCCAACTGCTCCGTGGATGTTAATCCCAGACCGGTCCTGTGCACTCGGATCGATCCTCACTGAGACGACAACTAACCAGTATTGCTGCAGTCTCTCCAAATTCAAAAATCCCACCAGAAACACGATCTACGCGTTTCGCTCATTCAAACGAGCTTTCTCACGGAGCGGTTGAATACATATAGAGACAAAGTCTTTCTACATCAATTACTGTTACAACTATCAAATCCCTACGGACATTTGAAAGCACCCCATTAAGATTGCAACCGGGACTCTTTATTTAATATATTTTCGTGGTTGACCCCTATACAAAAAATAGGGGTATATTAACTAAGCGCTGATACTGTTTTTATTTCAATTTATGTCGTGTATGATGTTTTAAAACTTGGGAAGGTTTTTAGTGTATCTGGCAGCTTTGTACATCAACTTTTTCTTGTGGATAATTGTAATTTGAAGCATTTGCTTAGAAAATCCACTATATTACTGATTTTCTTTTGCGCTCTCTATAAACCTGTTTTTTTCACCAATTATTTAAAGCAATTCTGCATTTAGTGTTACATTTAGAGGTGTTTGTAAACACCATGGGTTTTATACAAGTAAATAGATTTTTATTTCCTCAAACACAGTGGAAATCCATGATTTAAACAGTTTGCAGTTTATTCAAATAACCATATTTTCATATAGTAGTAACATTACTTTGATTTCTAGCCAGGCAGGTCCACAGTGTGCTTCAGATAGTAAATATTCATGTGTATCTTTAGATAAATACAGAACTTGTTTAGCAATGATTAGTAATGTACAACTATACTTCTACTATTATAATTTTTAATAATATTTAAGAGCTGGGTAAATATAACTTTCTGCTTTATGTTGTCTCATAGAAAATGTTGGTCAGCTTTTAGTTCAATCAAGCACTAGTTACTTTTTTAATGTCTCCTCTTTTACATAAAGAAACATAAGACCACACACAGATGAGGTTTTTTGATAAACCTCTCTATCTCCCCCTGAGACCCAGCCCATTGACTTGTGTCCTCTGTACTGGACATTTCGTTCACATGCATCTCCTTTTCTTCTTTTGAGCTACTCTATCAATTCCTGCTGTATTGTAAAGAGGACATCCAAGGCTTTCCAGTAATATGTCATGTGAAAGGCTGGGATGCTGGGAACTTCCTCTTCCTTTTCATAAAAAGTGGATGACATATTGGATACCTACTTTTTCCTCGGTTCACAGGAGTATATGATGTGTTGACTAAACATGTACATTACAAAATAATATAGATATTGAAATAACCAGAGGTTCCTAGAGTTTGTGAACACAAAAGTCAAAGGAATCTTTCTGGTTTAGAGTGACAATTATGCTTAAACAGGTTGAACCCATAAGCCAAAAAACAGATTGCAGGACAGGTTAGGAAAGAAACCAGAGAGATGACTGGAGAAGACCTAGGATAGTGAATCCCTTTTTCTGTCTAGGTATGCAGAATATATTAAGGGAACATACTTGTAAACATTTTCCCATGAGATGAAGTCCTGTCCTGATCATTCTTGTAGCATTCAGTCATTAGCAACAAATTGGAAATTAAATGAAGGAACCAGATTGCTGAGATGAGAAAGAAATGGAGTTGCCAAGATGACTTGGGAGAAGTCCTAGATTAGATGGTACAGTTGGTTGAAATGAATATATTATAAGGCTGGATAGATAAAAGATTATTGGGTTAGAAGTAAGATAAGGATAGAGATAGAGAGTCAAATATAAAATAGAGTTTGTTTAGATAGGAAGTGTAAAATGGAAATATGATGACAACATGGAGATGACTTGGAAGGGTCCACAGATATTATTGGGAAGATCCGATAAATGGACTGGAGAATACAACAGCTTTTATTTGTTTAAAAAATTTTTTTTAAAATGACAATATGTGTTGTTGTATTTTTTTTTTTTATAGCCACTAAAGGTAACATGTTTACTTCTATTATGGCACCATGGGAAACTTTTTTGACACGACTTCATCTCAATTTTGAATCCTATATGCTGATTTAACATGCCAGGTCCTTCATTATCTCATTCTGGGAAAGCTCAAAATATGAATAGTCTATCTTTTCAGAGATTGGTGTGTAAATTAATAGATGGGGATTTGAGATATTTAGTGTACATCTAGGACTGTGTGTCGTCCGGCTACTGGGGGGTGGGGGTAGGTCTCTTGATACTGTAAATGGTTCCTGACTGGTTGAAGGAAGGGAATTAGTGGAGGTATCCGGTCAGGTTACCCTGGGTCTGCTACAAATATGCAATGTCATCCTGTAGTAAAAAAACAAACAAAAAAAAGCGATGACAACAAAAAACATTTGCAGTATATATTGGGGAGAAGTTTAAACATTTTGCAATAAACCTCTCCCCAATATACACTGCATTTCTTGTTCTATTATATTTTAAATTAACCTTTCATAACAGATTCACTTCAAGTTCTAACATCTCTTTATGCAGTCAATTTATCATTTACCATTTATCATTCCTATGCTCTTCCAGCAAGTCCACACCATGCTTTCTAGAAGAGTATCACAGCAACCAACTGTAGAACAGTTCTCCTGCTCTCCACTATAACTCAGTCCTCATGATAAAATTAACTAACAGGTGGAGGTGGACCATGTCTTGCTATACATATGAAATCTGTACATTTGCTGGCAATTCTGCTAACACAAATGTATAGATGAGAATTAAATTGACACTCCAGACCCCTAAAGTACTTTAGCTCAGTGGAGCTAAACGCAAGAGACAGTAAATTGCCCAAAGCACCTGCCTTTCAAAGAATTCTCATTGGGTTGCGTTAGGAGGTCTGTGATTGGACAGACACAGAAAGTCTGGGATGGGAATAAAGGCGAAGCTTTACATATGAGATTTTCAAATTTTGCTAAATGTTTTTAGATACAACCCAATGAAAAAAAGCAAAAACAAACAAACCCATAATTAAATGCATGCATATTTTCATTGGGGGTATATATATATATATATATATATATCAAACTGTTTTTTTTTTTATGTATTTTTTATTTGGGCAGGTGAGTGTACTTTTATTTTATAGCACATCGTGTGTACCATGAAAGTATATTTTAATCTGTAGTTTTCAGATGGATGAAGGTCTTCAGGTTGTTTCTTTTCTGTGATAGCCAAAGTGAAACATTGGACCTCCCTCTCTATTTGATTATCCATATTCTGTACCATTTATTTATTTATTTAACTGGCTATCTCCCGTTGTATTATACCTTAAATATATATTTCCACATTATTCCATAGATACTGAAACTATAAATTTTGAAAGCAGTCTGGCTAGAATTGCCTGTTACCTGCCAAGTATTTTATGTTTTTGAGCACTCTCAGTAGTAACCACCTCTTTTTCAGGACATTTTCTTGAAAGCAATAACTAGCAAACAACTGTTCTCAAGGTTTACAACCATATTTGTTACTGAAGAGCATTTTTGCGTTCCAGAAAACACTTCCTTAATATTATTTGAATTTATTAGAAAATATCTAGCCTATTCTCCTTTCTTTTCTTTTCTAAGCTGTGCACATTATTCTTGGTTTAAAAAACACTATGGGCACCATAAAAAATGTTTTAGTTTTTTTTTAAAATACACATGTTCCTCAGGTTGTTTTGTGAACAGGAGCCACTGACTGGATGAGAGCACCAGTTGACTCTAAGTCTATCAGGGGCTCCCCTGCTTGCAAAAGTCTGAGGTTTATGTTTACAAGCTTTTCAGCAAGCAGATGCTGGTGCTTGAGAAGGCGGAGTTATACGGCACTAGAGAGGAGATTTTGAGGTAAACCATTCGTGAACTGTTTAACCCATAAAGTTAAGCCAACTCCAAGGACCTACTAACACCACAACAACTTTATTTTGATTAAACTGTTATTGTGCGTGGAGTGTTTTTTAAGACAAACACTAGGGTTGACTGAATTCTTCATATAATTTACACTGATCATTTTAAGGAGAAAAACACCCAGCTATTCCTCAGACACTTTTATCGTGTTCATTGTTTTCTTCATATCATTATTACACTATTCTAAAGCTTTACTTACATTTCTCTAATTAGTAAAATCACATTCAGAGCAATCTAAGGCAAATTCGAGGCACATTTCACAATACACTGACATCCTTTTATATGGTATTATCCTCCAGCAATGTGGTACAAATGAGCTTCAAATTTATCCAACTTTAAAGGAATGCTCTCAAGACAACTCTAATATGGGGTTGACCTGTTTGGAGTAACCGAACATTTGCAGGGTAATATGATTTTCTCAAACATCCCAACCAATCACATTGAGAATAAAGGTTACATAATTTAACTTACATTTTTAAAATTGTGTTGTCTATTTCAGTGGACAAAAGATGCTTATGTGCTAATAGCTCTGATTTCACTGGGACAGTCCCACATTTTCAAATCTCCCTAGCAGCAAATATTCCAAAGTTGCTGCAGAGTATCCAGTAGAGCAGTGGTTCCCAAACCAGTCCTCATGGCCCACTAACAATCCAGGATCTATGTAATTCCCCCTTTTTTTTTATTCTAATGGAGATCCTGACAAAACCTTGATTATTTGTTACATTATACAGGAAACACAGTTTTCATGTTGCAGATTTTATTGCTTTTGACAATTGATATGTCTTGTGGACGCAAACATGTAAGGAGGTTGTTTATACGGTTTATTGTATTGTATATAATTGTTGTATAAATTATAATGATTTTTATGTATTTGTTATTTTCTGTATATGATTATGATTTGTTATTTAAGGGAGTTTTTAAGCTGTATATTGCATTATGGAACCCCAGCTTGACAGAGATCCTGTATTTGTGTCGAAATGTATCCAGGTCCACACAGGTGAAATAAATCTCTTGAAACTACTTTGGTGTTCTCTATTTAATTTCTACTATATATGAGGTGACTTGAAGGTAACTTTGGAGTTTGCACCCAAATCCTTTCCAGACCCTCCCTGGACAGATAGAGAAGGGGGGGAGGGGGGGGGGAGAGGACATGACTGATGCCAAGATAAGGGGGGGGAGCTATAGGGATACAATTTAACAATATCGACTGGCAGATATATAGGGAGAGAGGGGAGGGGACTTATCAGTCAGCCTGGAGAAACTGTGCAGGGATCCTGACTTTCTCCCACCTTGCTGATCTGGAAGTTTTGCTAAAAAAAACAACTGACCTGATTGCCATGGATGTTTCGAGCGAGGATCTTGTGGCCCTCTTGCAGGCTTACCGAGCCGCACACGGTGCGGGCTCCTTGGATGATGTGCTGGCCGGTGTGGAGGGTGACCGTGGACCGGGCACTGCCCAAGGTTCCAGGGAGGCATCGGTGCCCGTGGATGGCGGTCGGCGGGCCAGGCGCTCCAGGGCACCAATGCGCCTGTCTCCAAGCCCGGTGAGGAGAGGAGGAGATGGCTGCAGGAGGTCGGAGGAGGCTGGCGTACCCGGGCCGAGCCTTACAGCATCTCTGTGAGCTGCTGCGGTCGGATCCGGCAGCCAGCCGCAAGACGGAGTCTCGGCGGGAAGGACATCGGGCACGAACTGGAGCGATGCCGGAAGTGAGGTCAGAAGATGGCTCCGTGATGTACCCGGAAGTGGGCGCCCGCACCGGAAGTTGTTGGACGTCCACCTGGAACCAGGAAGCAGGTATTGGACCAGAATGGCGCACGTGTGCCGCGTCTCGGGTGGCAGTCCCGAGGTCAAGAAGCCTGGATACCGGCGGTCTGGAGACCGTGTTGGCTGCAGCACCCCTGGAAGCTGGGAGGCTCCATGGCGAGTCGGAGGAGGACTCAGAAGAGGAGAGAGCCGGTCAGGAGGAACAAGGACCAGTGCACCTGCCGCAATTCGATGAGTTTGCCTGCACTAGCGACTGGGGTTCTGCTGGGGCTCTGGGCAGGATAGTGAGGTGTTGCGCCTGCTTAGGTTGTTAGTGGGTGGACAGGCTAAGGGGAATGGGTCAGGGACGTTAGGGCAGGCTTCTACCAGTGGGCAAGGGATTAGTCCGTGTCTCCCTGGGTGTGAGTTGGCTCCTTTAGGATTGCACATTCCCGCCGACGTACAGGATAGGATTGTGCGCGGTGAGTTTGTGGATCTCCTTTTGCTAGTGCTGCCGGACAAGGAGTCGGTGGACAGACCACGGCGTGGCGAGCAGTTGGAAGGAGAGAAGGATAAGGCTATCCTGTGTACTTTTGATAACTGGTTGCAAGGATTCAACATCTTTGCAAGTATCTTAGTGTGTCGCTTCCCTGAGCGGGCCCCCTCGTTGTTCGGTTATCTGGATTTGATTTGAGGGGGCATACAAAGTGTATGGTGATCAATGCTGGTTTAAATATGATCAGCAATTCCACCAGAAGATGGCGGCGTGCTCGGGCATGGACTTTGGGGTACAGGATGGCAGCCTGTGGCTGCTACTGATGACCCCGTGCCGCCCCTCTCCTGGGACTGCCGACGGGTTATAGAAAAGGAGTCTGTTGGCTCTTCAATGAAAGCCATTGTAAGTGGTTTAGCTCCTGCAGATTCTGGGGGATGGGGGAGCCCATCCCGCGTTACGCTGTTTCCGGGCATTGGTCGGGACAACGTTTCTCACGGGGAGGACGCCGGTGAACGTGGGAAGGATGCGCCCGTGGCTTGACCGGTACCCTAAGCGGGGTGTTGCAGAAATGTTATTCGACGGGTTCATGGTGGGTTTTTGGTCCCGTTTGTGGAGTCGGAGGAGAGTCAGTTTGCTTCGAATAGGCGTTCAATTCGGGGGAAGGAGGATTTGTTGCGGGAAAAACTGGATGCCGAGGTTCATCAGGGATGGATTGCTGGCCCCTTTGGTTCCCCCCCTTTTCACAACTTGAGGGTGTCCCCTCTGGGTTTGGTTCCCAGAAAGGAACCTGCGGCTTTCCGGTTGATTCATCATCTCTCCTACACTGAGGGGGGATCGGTCAACAATAAAATAGATAAGGAAGTGTGTAGGGTGCGTTACGCTTCCTTTGACTCAGCGTTGCGGCTTCTATGGCGGGCAGGACAGGATGCCTTGTTGGAAAAATTGGACATCGAATCCACTTTTTGACTGTTGCCGGTTCACCCGGCTTGTTTTCACTTGTTCGGTTGTTTCGTAACGGGTTTTATTATTATGACATGTTCCATTTCTTGTTATTATTTTGAACTGTTTGCATCCTTTTTGGAGTGGGTTACAACGCGCATGTCAGGTTTGGTATCCGTAACCCATTACCTGGATGATTTTTTGTTCGTTGGCCCGGTGGGTTCGGGGGAGTGTGCTTCCTTGTTACAGGCTTTCCGACAAGTGCCGTTAGGCTTCGGGGTTCCAGTTGCGGAGCAGAAGACGGTCAGCCTGGTGTCAGTCCTGTCGTTCTTGGGAATTTAAATTCACACTGTCCGGATGGTTTTTCGTCTCCCGAACGACAAGCTCGTGGTTTTGTTGCAACTGGTCGACTTAGTTAAGGGTTCAAGAAAGGTCCAGCTGCGCCAAATGCAGGGTCTACTCGGCATTTGGTATTCGCATGTAGAGTGCTGCCGATGGGTCGGGCATTCTATCGCAGATTGTCGTTGTCAACGGTTGGGGTGAGGGAGCCCTTCCACTACATTCGGATCACGTAGCACCTGCGGGCGGATCTGGAGGTGTGGAGTGCCTTCTTCCGCTGTTACAACGGGCATTCCTGCTGGCTGAGGGATGCCACCCCGAGCGCGGCATTGGATCTCTTCACAGATGCCTCAGGGTCCGTCGGTTTTGGGGCATATTTTCGGTGTCAGTGGTGTGCGGGAGCATGGCCCGACGAATGGCAGAAATCATATGGTGGTTTTTCACACGGACAACATGAGTGTTGTCCATGTGATTACTCGGTCGTCCTCTTCCTCTCCTCCGGTTTTGGCGCTGCTGCGACGGCTGGTCCTGCTCAGTTTGCAATTTAATGTATGGGTTCAGGCTTGTCATGTCCCGAGGTTGGAAAATGTGGAGGCTGATGCATTATGTCGATTGCAGTGGGATCGTTTTCGGGAGGCAGCGCCGCAAACAAGGCAGATCTGTTGGACCTGTCCAGAGTCCTTATGGAATCTCGATTTCAAAGCCTGATGGGCTTGGTAACAGATTCCTTGGCAGAGTCTTCATGGAAGGCATACCAGACCATATTGGGACAATGGTTGTCGACAGCGGGTGGTGACGGGGGAGTGACATCAGAACCCGGGCGTCTCGAGGCGACCTTGTTGTTGTTGGACAGTATGCTCAAACGAAGTAAGTCTTGTGCTGCGGCGGAGAAGGCGCTGATGGCGCTGTCCTTTCTGTTTCGCTTTATGAGATGGCGTGATCTTACCAAAGAATTTGGGATACAGAGGGTTCTGCAGGGATGGAGGCTTCACAGTGCCCGGATCATCATCGCCCGATTTCCGTGGCCACTTTGCGCCGGATTCTCGCTGCCTTGCCGACAGTCTGTGCTTCGGAGTTCGAGTCCCTCTTATTTTGCTTGGCCTTCTTTTTTTGTTTTTTGGGGCTTTCCGCATTGGCGAGCTGGTAGCTCCCAGCAGGAGGGCAGCTTCTCCGTTGCCACTGTTGGAGGTCAGGTGGTCGGAGTCTTCTGTCGACATTTTCGTCCGTCGGTCCAAGACGGATCGTGAAGCTCACGGCGCTTGGGTATGCATTGGGTCTACCAGGAACGAGGTCTGTCTGGTTGGGGATTTTCTCGGGTTTCTAAGGGTGCGGTCACAAAGGGGGGGGCCCTCTGCTAGTTCATGCGCATGGGTCACCTCTCACTCGGTACTAGTTCACCGCGATGCTTCGGAGGGCCTTGGCAGCCATTGGCGTGGATGCCCAAGGGATCTCGGCTCATTCCTTTCGGATTGGAGCGGCTACTCAGGCGAGTCTGTTGGGCTACTCGGCAGCGGGCATTAAGCGCATCGGGAGATGGGAGTCGGGGCACTTTAAGTCTTATGTCCGACCTCAAATGTTGTAATGCTCTTCTTGTTCTAGGTGCGAGGCCCTGGTATGTGTGGATTTTAGGGCACTCCTACATATACTGGGCTGCTCGACGAGCAGAAGACCAATCCTATGGACGGAATTTGGGGTTCTCATTTGAGGTTGCTCGGGTCAGATGGAAGGGTGTGCGGGGTCTCCTCTTACAACAGGTATACCTGGAATGTGTAGCGCTGCGTAAGTTTGTCTCCGGGCCTGCGGTGTTGATTGTCCACACCGGCGGAAACGATTTAGGCCGGGCTAGGACCATCAACCTACTCCATGCGATCTGGAACGACCTGGCTAGGTGTATGGCACTCTTTTTGGACATGACCTTGGTTTGGTCCGAGGTGGTTTCCAGGCCGTGATGGAGCGCGTTGCCGCACGCTCGCGGGTTGGAGAAGAGCCGGCGCAAGCTGAATATTGCAGTGGGAAAGTTTGTGCGTCGGCTGGGTGGCGTCGTTGTTAGGCACGTGGAGCTTGAGGGAGACAACTTAAATTTGATGAGAAAGGACGGGGTACATTTAAATGACATCGGGTTGGATATTTTTAACGCGGGTCTGCAGAACGGGATTGAGGCTGCGCTGTCTGCGGGGGGCGCGATAGCGACAAGGGGCTCGAACTAACATTGCCAATCACGGTGGTGGGAGTCCTAGCCAGCGCAGGCAGAAGTGGAAGAAGGTGCTGAGGAGGCTTGGGGAGTCGCAGCCTGCTGGGAGCTGATGGTGGAGGCAGGCTGTTCTGAACTCATGGATTGATGGAATAGACCTGTCTGTTGGTGAACCACCCCAACAGCCGAAAGTGAAAAGGACTTGCTGGCATGAATAATCAATAAAGCTGTGGCCGTTGCCTTTACCCAACATAATAAGGTCTGACGTGTGTTATTGGGCAACGGGGTGAGATATTCTATGGGTGATCAGCAATTATGAGGAGTGCTTGTTCTCCTTACTTCCTTTATAGATTTCAGGATGCATCTGTGAAGTGGGAACTAGAACCATCAAAATAGCACCACCACAGCTGCACTCTGTGCATTGGTCTGCTTTGAAAAGTGTATGCCAATCAGCTTTGCCACTCACTTGAGGGGCAGTCCAATACACTTTTTTTTGGCATACCCACCCATTTCATTGGTTAGTTATACCCTGCTAAGTAGCCTGCTTTCTTGTTGGCAGATATGAGGAACATATTCATACTGACAGTCCTCACTGTATTTTGTAAGTAAGTATTTTAAGTTAAAATTAATTTAACTGGCAAGTAAGGTTAGTGAAGACAAACCAATGCTGATATATTTAGGGAAAAAGGTGGAAAGGTAGCACTCCTGAGGAACATCAAGTGAGTGAGTAGGAAGGAACAATAACACGATTCAGTAGCCAGTCCACATAAATTGTGCTAACTGTTGACCCCTCAGCCTCTATTCTTTGAGGAAATAGAACACGTTGGCCACTATGGGATCATATATGTAATTTATTCATCGTATATGGTGGTGAATGCTATCTTAGCACTGCGATAGAAATGTCACTGCAAAGTTATGGACCTAAGAGAAAATAAAGGTTAGTGTGAGAACATGCATATGGCACTGTGGAATGCTGAAGTGTGCATATGTTTGAATTTCAATGTGGAAAAAGATGCTCAAGCGTGCAGATAATTTATAGTGAATGGATTATCAGTGACAGTTCTCCTCTAACATATCAAGATTATCTAAAACACACTGCTGTCAATCATGTCACTGTGTGGAGATCAGATCTTTCATTTAGATTTCATGAAAGAATCACATTCAAGTTTTAGCTATGCCCCCCCAGGTCATGATTAAAATCTTTTTCTAATGTATTGTAATGTCCTTCCTTTAATTAATGTTACAGCATTCATTCCCCCTATAATATTTCCACTAACTCCAAAGATATTTATTGATTTCAGATAATCTGTCATTTTAGGAAAATTGTTCATATTCATGTTTTATTTTTGACAGGTTTCCCATTTTCAGCATCTGCTATTTTGTGACTGACACCTGCATGCTCTTTGGAGTGAAATTTATATTTTGGTATGAATGAGATACAGTTCGAAATAGTACAACTACAACACAATAAGCATATGCATAATATGTGTAAAGAAATGCAAATTATATGACAGCTGCTCAAATTATTATTAAATAATCGTATCACAAGTGATGTGCCAAACTAATTGCAGTAATGTGTGTGTGTGTGTGTGTGTGTGTGTTAGCAGTATTATATAAATATTACGTGAATTTGATTATTAGCTGAATTACTTGATATGTTGAGAGCTCACGGTAGAACCTGAAATACTAGGGATTATAAATATATTTTAATTATCTTCATAACTTCGACTTTATTGTTTTTTTTTCCTTCATTTTTTTATGTATATATAAGAATTAAACAAACAGTAAGGCAATTCCAACAGAAGTATCCCTTTAAGCTGAAATTATTTGAATATCACATTAAATGATATGTTATAAGTTAACGGGTGGTGTCTACAATTTCTACTAACATAGCTTAGTTATTGAACTAAGCAGATTCCCTATTCAATAAGTCAAAGGTCCTTTAATATAGTCTTGTTAAAATGCAACTTTGTACAGTGGTTAGATACTTTGTGAGCATGTTATACTGTATGTTGGTGAAATTATGTTATCAATATGTGGCAAAAAAAATTGAATAGTTTTTAACAGAAGTGGGATAATCCTCTCAATAACTGTTTATGCTTGTGGATGCTAAACCCCCGTGGTATGCAAACTGTCATCAGCACTAATGTCATTAGAATGTTTGGCATGTACCCTACGTCAGGGCCGGAATGTGGATACAAAGCAGCCCTGGAAAAAAAATCTATGCCAGCCCCATAAGTCATTGCGCCATATATTGTCGTATGTAATATGTAAGGCTATGTCTTGCCACCCCAGATGATTGAGTAATATATATATATATATATATATATATATATATATATTGCATTTTCTAATATAAAATATTGGACCTTTCAGAGTAAAACGTTTAATTATACAGTAAGCATACTCACATGCAGACACAGACAATCTTACTGACACACACAAGCTCATTGATACACAGCCTCATAGACAAACAATCTCACTGATATACATATGTTCATTGACATAAACACAAGCTCATTCACTATCAGGCACACGCACAAACACATGCAAGCAAGCTCACTCACTAGCAGGCGCACACACACACACGCAGCAGGCTTTTCAATGTAAACATTGACTTTTCAGAGAAAATGCAATGTTTACAATGCTTCCTAGTGACACCTCTAGACAGACACTCAGAGGGTCACTAGAGGTGCTTCCTGTGTCAGTGTGGATTGGCTGAGATCATCAAGCTTGATGATCTCAGTCATAGAGGCAGTGCCAATCGAGGGGGGACCAGCACGGCATGGGAAAAAAAAAGGTGAGAAAAAACACTTTTTTAAAAAACACACACACACAGACACACACACATACACCATATCAGACACACACATACACCATGACACAGACAGACAGACACACATCATGACACACACACACACACACACACATCATGACACAGACAAATGTACACACCATGACACAGACATACACACATACACTCACACTGACAGACTGACACACATAATTGCTATCTGTTCTGGCGACCGCAGGGGGAGCTGTACTGTCTCTGCTCTGCTCCCCAGCGTGCAGCTTAATGAGACCGGGGACGGAATATAATGTATTCTGGTGGGCCAGTCCGGCCCTGCCCTACGTTAACATTTTTATAAAGATTACTTTGAAAATTTGGCCACACTTAGCAATACTGGTCTCCACACTGCAGAGAAACAACATTTTCTTTCAGGGCTCCATTCTCCATTCGATGAGGTCATTTTTTTCTTTCCTACTTAGCTATCCTTTTTGAGCAGACCTCATCTGATTATTTTTTTTAGATGACATTTATTTAAAATATGGATGATAAATCAATTCTTTCTGCATAAATCACATTGTGTTTTTATTCTTGTGAACAAAAAATATTAAAGGGTTACTCCAGCCACAATGACCACTTCAATAATGTACAGTGGTTATGGTGCACACAGTCTGCATGTGCAGTGTTTTGCGTTGAAATACTGCGCATATTGACTTTAACCCATTTGGTGCCAGAGATGTAACTAAAATTCTGATCTGGCTAATGTCAATTCTGTGCAATTCTGAGAACAGTCACTCTTGGCCAATGAATGAGTGGCAGGATTGGCATAGATGTCAGAAACACAACTTCAGGAAAGACTGGAACCCTAAAGGACCAGGTAAGAAAGCAAACCGTTGTTTTTCCCATAATCTGGAAATGGTGCCAGGGTACTCTTCACAGTGGGCTGTAGTGATTATGATGGTTAGAGTAATCGTTTAAAGTCCCAAAAAATTAAACAAACAAGATATAAGAAGCAAGAACACAACCCAACTGACTGAAATATATATAAATCTCATATAGTGAGCTTAGTCTCAGCAGTGCCGAAAAAGTTTTTATTATTCAACATAATATCAATCAAAAATAAAATCAACCAAGATGAAGAATCAGCCATACCACAGTTCATATTTTAAACAATAGGGCAGGTTTATAACAGATCTACAGAAATATGTTGTGCTAAATTTGATCCCTTAATTGGATTTGATTCAGTAGAGCAAAGGTTGTTATTACTATAGATGTGTGCTTTGTTATTACGCATACAAATAATGCCAAGTGATAGTGAAATATACATCACTTATCAATAAAGCAGTTAGCGGAAAATGTGAGTTTAATTACAAGTTTCTCCTGTAGATGAACAAATTTGCAGGCTTATTTAACAGATCCATAACAAGGAGACTACCAAAGACTACTATTAATAATTTTCTTATTACTTTTTGCAGTAAACACTGTCTTTTCAGAGAAAATGCAGCCTAGTGATACATCCCCTGGCCACACCTCAGATGGCTACTAGATGTGCTTCCTGTGGCAGTGCTGCATACTGTGCAGTACTGCCATTCAGTATCTCCACCCTCTGCATGCAAACTCTGAACTTTCCCCGTAGAGATGAATTGATTCAATGAATCTCTATGAGGAGATGCTGATTGGCTAGGGCTGTGCTTCTCTGTGCTGGTTCTGCCCCTGATTTGCCCCCTTGACAGTCTCAGCCAATTCTATGGGAAAGAACCGTTTTTTTCTTATGATGTCTGGCATGCAGGCAGGTCAGGGGCAGTGGCACAGCTGCAGGCTTGAATACAACATATATATATACATACACACACACACACACACACACAAGGCTTTAGGGATACAGCTGTTCGTGATAGGGTGATGTGAGATATTTATATATATATATCTGTAGACCCTTATTTTGAGCAGGGAGCAATCAGACGCTTCCATTTGGAAGCGTCATTGCTCCCTTGTGCGCATGCGCGGCTTTGCCGCACATGCGCACATACTTCATAGGGCGGCATTTATGCACACCGTGCCTTCTCTCTCCTGCACACGTCAGACATATTTTAATACGTGTACGTCTGACGTGTTCCTGACCCTATAGTGATCCTTTAAAATTACTTTATTGCACAGTAGATAAATACTTCTAAAGTAAGTTAACACCCAATTTAATTAAAGGTTGGCAAGAGCTATAGAAACAGAAACAAATGTGATTTAACTCCTAAATTGCAGATAATTGAGTAGTGAGACTGTGGAGACATGATCTATACACTAAAACTTCATTAAGCTAAGTTTGTTTAGATGCCTATGCTGTCCTTTTAAATATTGATGGCTAGAAAACTGTGACATCTCCAGAGCAAAAAAGCAAGTCTTGAAGGGGTGTACTATGCAGTGGCTAGTACCTACCAAAAGTGGTGCAAGGGACAACAACCATAGAACCAGCGCCAGGGTAAAAAAAAAAAAACTGGTACTCGAGCGATGACGTGATGACGCTGCACGCTCGCACACTCGCGGCTTGAGCACCGAGCCTTAGTGATCCGACAAGCAGGAGATATCGAGAGTCTCAAATGTTTGAGCTGATACTCTCAATTGAATGGGGGAGACGAGCTACATCAGTGTACTGGAGGTGGAGGAGTTTAGCAGGAAAGTGCTGATAGCGGATATTAGCGGACCATACTTTGGAGCCAGTAGGTTCAGACTGGGTTCCACGGAGAAACGATGAAACGAGGCCGAGACACGTGGCAAGCAAACAAGTAAAGGGGTATTTAAAGTTGGTAAACGAAGGAGAAGGAGTGGTGGGATAAAAGCCGTTAACTAAAAACGGAGAGGAATAACAAAAGATACTAAGAGAGTTATTAAAGGAGCGAAATAGCAGGTGAAGATAAATTCGACATATACATAAATTAACTGTGGTAACCCTCTGCTGGTTTATATCAAAATGTTGATTCAATCACCACAGATTAATCTGGTAAAGCTACAATTAAATTCAGAATTCAATATATGCGTTGATATATATGTGCTGATGTAAAGCAAGCTAATTGCTATAAAAAAAAAAAAAACCTGAAAAGTAATAAGCTGAAAGAAGATAATTAATAAAAAAGAAAGAAAAATAAATAAAGGGAACAAATTTTAAAGGAAAAGAAAAAATAGAAAAAAGGAAAGGAGAAAGGCACTTAAAAACAAAGGTGGATTTAAAAAAAAAGAAAAAAAGGAAAAAAAAAGGTTATAAAAAGGGGGAGAAAGAAAGGGAAAGGAAAATAAAAAATAAAAAAAGGAAAAGAAATTTCTTTACAAACTTCTTCTATAGACTGTTCTCATAAAAAAGAGGATTTTTGAATCTCTTGAAGAAACCTATCCTCTTATAACTAAAATCTCTCGTAATATATCCTGAAGAACCTATTTAAAGATAAACAAATACCAGTACATAATAAGCTAAGTAAATAAACTTAAAGAATAAGATAAAGGTAAAAATATAGTGTAGACTCAAACCCATTGTGAGATCCACTGTATTAAACACACAATGTAACCACTAACTATAATGCGAAATAATCTGGCTAGCTAATTTAACTCTCCTATGAATAAGAGTAATTATCCTAATAACAAAAGACAAAGAAAATATAATATGGCCCTAAAGAAGGATAAAGACAAAAACTCCACCACAACTACTACAAGTAAGCAAATTAACACACTTTACTCTCCAAAGTCAACAATTTCAGAATCCAAGATAAGCTCTCAAGGTAATGAGACGTCAGCCTCTCAAATAGAAACAGACCAACATACTTCTATTACGACAGAAGAAGATTTCTCATTTAAAGAACCAGCTATACCCCAACAAAATATCTCAAAACTATTGGACGGATAATATAAAAAAGATTTTGAATCCAATATGCAAGATCTTTAGAAAGAAGTCTCTCAGCTTTCAGAAGCTTTATCTACACAAGCAGATATGCTTAATAAAATTCAATCTGATTACAATACACTCCAAACAGAAAACGAACAAACAAATGAGAGAATTAAATATCTGGAAAGTAAAGTAACAGACTTGGAAGACAGAGGAAGAAGAAAGAATTTAGAAATCCGAGGGATAAGTGAAGACATCTCCTCTGAACATCTTGATCTATATATAAAGCTTGGTGCTCAAGATATCCGTGCTGTGGCATCAGGGTGGCATCAGAATGTCAAATGTCAACAGCTCTAGGTATGTGAGAATGTTATGTAGTGTGTATGACTTAGTTTTTATGGTTTAGTAGTGTCCAGGAGTAGCAGGAAAATTTGAAACTGAAGATTGAAATCAATGTCAATTAAGTTTGCCACACTTAATGTGTGAGGTTTAAATACTCCCCAAAAAAGATGATATATTTATAATCTCTTAATACAAAACTAAATAAATGTCATTATGATCCAGGAGACACATTGGGTTCTAGATTACAATAAGATATGGAAATGTAACAAATACTCTAATGTTTACCATGCAAATTTGATAGGCTCAAAGAAGAAAAAAGGTATGACAATTATTATAATGGATAGGATTAATTAAAATAGAATGAATACATCAGATTATAGATGAAAATGGTTGTTACCAAATTCTTATAATAAAACTAAAAGATATAGAATAATCTTTGATAAATATCTATGCTCCGAACCAGACCCCTTCAAAATTCTTAACCAATTTATATAATAAAATAGAACCGAGGATATTTGGTAGCTTGATTATAGAAGAAGACTTTAACGCAGTGGTCAATTCCAAGATGGACAAAAATCAAAGTAAATATAATAAAATATATACTAATAGACCCTGTAACAATGATTTCTTGAATTTTTTAATATCAAACTCTTCATACGATTTCTGGCAGCTGTTACATGATCGGGAATATACTTTCTTTTCAGCAGTACATGAATGATACTCTCTTATAGAAACTCAGTCAAACATTTTGGAACAGATCAAGAAGGTTGAAATAGGATCCATAACTTGGATGGACCATGCCCCAGTTTTTTTTTTTTTGAGATAACTCATAATAACAATTATAAATTCGGGATTATTCTAGCTCCTAGTGACTGAATAATCTAAATTTTATTAAAGACAGGAGGCGAATATTTGCTTATCTTTCTTTACTGTAACTCCCAGCAGCAAAGAAACAGTTAACAGCAGTGTAACAAGTTTAACCAATCAGTATGCATTACAGTAATATAAACTGTCAGCAGGCTCCTCCCAATTCCTCTTTCTTGATGTAGCCGAACAGTCGTAGAGTCAACCATGTAAATGTAGAACCATTAAAAATGATGAACAGGTAACGGTGTAGGTATCCGGTAGGATGAAGGTAGTGATCAACCCGCAGGTAGATTCGAGACAGAAGGCAATTGATCTTCACACTAGGAGGAAGGAGAAACATCGTGAAAGTATGGTCTCTTTGGCAAGAGAAAAGTCAAAGTAAATGCAGTGAACTGACTTCCAATTTAAGTGCAAGCTCTAACTTATGATAATTAACTCTGTGGTATGTAGAGTAAGTGACACACCTAGAATACAATAAACCAATGTACAATTGAAAGCGGTTTAGCATATAATAATGACCTAATGAGTATAGGCTAGAGAAAAGAGAGGATGCTGGTCATAGTTAGAACTGGAGATAGTGCAGGATACTTACCTAAAAGGGTGGGTAAGGAGAATCCAGGGTGGGAAAATATTCGCCTCCTGTCTTTAATAAAATTTAGATTATTCAGTCACTAGGAGCTAGAATAATCCCGAATTTTATGGCAAGACAGGAGGCTTCATATTTGCTATTTTAACGCACAGATAGCAAGGACAGAGAAACGTGTGGAGAATGTCTAAAATAAAAAGTACGGAAGGTGGATTCTCTAGACCAATCAGCGGAGGATAGAATCTCCGCTAAGGAACCTCCAGCTATGAGTGCCGAGGAGGCGGCTGCGCCTCTAACCGAGTGAGCTCCGAAAGATGCATCAATGCCAGCCAGGGCTAGAAGCCATTTAATGGTAGGGCACGAGACTGGTTTGTGAGGTCGTACACAAGATACCAGGAGGGGCCCAGTAGGTGCTCTGAGAGGGGTAATACGAGCGATATAGTGTCTTATACACCGGGCTACGCAGAGGAGGGGTTTCTCCGAGAAGTAAGGGTAGCTCACAGTAGATGAGTTGGTCTTGGTGCGTCTAGTGATATGAAAGTGCACCCCTTCCGGTGTGAAATCGAGGGCATGAAAGTCGAAAGCCCTGATGTCAGAAACTCTTCGGAAGGAGACCAAGCAAAGGAGGAGAGCTAATTTGGCTGACAATTGGCGTAGGGAGAGCGCCTCGTTGTCCGGCCAAGCTTCCAAGAACGTGAGCATGATGGCCACGTCCCAAAATTGATTATATTTGGGAGTCGGGGGTCTAGCGATGCGGATGCCCCGCAAGAGTCTACAGACAGAAGGGTGTTTGCCTACTGAAGAACTTTCGATAGGAACGTGCGCTGCAGAAATAGCAGACCGAAACACGTTAATGGTCCGGTAGGATTTACCCTGGTAGAACAGAGACGACAGGAAATTGATAACATTAATTATAGATGTTGAAAAGGGATCAAGGTTCCTTTCCAAGCACCAGCAACTCCATAGACGCCATGCAGAGATGTAAGAACGTCTGGTTCCCGGGGCCCATGAATCCCAAAGGAGTCCCTGAGCAGTTGTCGAAAGGCCTGAGACATTCCAAGATCCCCTGAAATGGTCCAAGCCACTAGTTGGAGATGATCCTGGATTGCCAATGGGTGAAAGTTGCCTGTCGGGTCTCTGAGGAGGTTGCAGGCGTTGGGTAGCAGCAGGGGGAAGTCCACAGACATTTCCAGGAGGTAAGGATACCATGGTTGGGCCCGCCATAGCGGGGTCACTAGTGTTATCTTGACACCCTGAGTTTTGAGGTGCTGTAGTGTGCGTGGAATCATGGAGAATGGAGGGAACGCATATGCCCCGGACATCGGCCACGTCTGTAGGAAGGCATCGACTGCAAGGCACGCTGGGTCCGGCAACCAGCTGTAAAAGGCGTCCGTCTGCCTGTTGAGGCGAGATGCAAAGAGGTCCAGGTTGAATGGCCCCCGGCAGACCTGGAGACGGTGAAATATCTGTGGATTCAGATGCCAATCGCTGGAGTCCCTCCAGTGTCGGGAGAACCAGTCTGCGACGAGGTTGTCTGATCCCGGTAGATATTCCGCTCGCAGGGAGATATTCCTGTCTAGGCAGAACTGATATAATTCTTTGGTCAGATCTGAAAGCATCTTCGATTTGGAACCTCCTGGATGATTCACGTAACGAACTGCGGACACGTTGTCCATCTTCAGCACCACGGAACAGTTGTAGACATCTTTGGCGAAACTGCAGATTGCGAATGAGCCTGCAATCAGTTCGAGGCAGTTGATATGAAGTGCTCGTTCCGAGTGGGACCAGAGTCCTCCTGTAGAGCTTTCCGAGCAGGTTGCGCCCCATCCGAGCAGACTTGCATCCGATTCCAGGATGAAGTTTGGTTGGGATCCGAAAATGGCTCTTCCATTCCAAGCGTCCATATGTTGTAGCCACCAATGGAGTTCGAGCCGGACTTCGTCCGTGAGTGTGATCTGTTGGTCGTAGGACGTCGACTGATGTAAGTATTGGGTCTTCAGGCGTTGCAGTGCCCGGTAGTGCAGTGGGGCAGGGAATATAGCCTGTATTGAGGTGGAGAGCAAGCCAATGGTGCGGGCTAGATCTCGCAGGCGGAGGTGTGGTGATATCAGTAACCTCCGAATGTCTTTTTTGATGGATTTGATTTTGGATGCCGGAAGTTGAAGGACTGCTTGAACAGAGTCTATCCGGAATCTCAGGAACTGTATCGTCTGGGACGGTGTTAGAGATGATTTCTGGTGATTGATCACGAAACCAAGATTCTGCAATAGGGCGGAGGTCATGCTTGTATGAAGGTGGAGAGTTTCTTGGTCTTGTGCCATGAGGAGGATATCGTCCAGATAGATTATGGATCGGATGCCTTGGGAGCGCAGTAAGGCCATCACTGGTTTCATTAGTTTGGTAAAGCACCAGGGTGCAGAAGATAGGCCGAAGGGGAGGCATGTGAACTGCCATAGTGCTTGTTCCCAACGAAACTGAAGGAGGCAGCGGTGTGCTGGTGTTACCGGCACCGTTAGGTAGGCATCCTTTAGGTCGAAGCGGGAGAACCAATCTCCCTCGGAGAGTAGGTCTCTCAATAAATGGATCCCCTCCATTTTGAAGTGACGGTATGCGATGAACTTGTTCAGATCTCTCAGGTTGATGACAGGTCGTAGACCTCCTGATTTTTTCTTGACTAGAAACATGTTGCTTATGAAGATCTGTGGGCCAACAACTCTTTCGATCGCACCCTTGGTGAATAGATCGTCGAGTTCGCTCCGTAGAGTCGACTCGTCTAACAGTGACATTTTGATTGGGGTAGGAGGAAAATTTTGTATTGGTTCGACTGAAAAATCCAGGTGGAACCCGGACACCGTCTGAAGGATCCAAGGATCCTGAGTGAGTTGAGACCACTGTTACGAAAAAAGGGTTAACCGGCCTGCAATAGGAATATGAGAATAAGGAAGGTCCATTACCTGTAGCAGTGCGACCGCGGAGGGAAGCGGATCCATGTCCTCGGATAGCTCCGCGAGAGGGAAAAAATTGTCTGTGGTGGAATCGGGTATTGCCCGAGTTCCAGGTGTCTGAAGGTCGAGGCCTGTAGCCTGTGAAGGCGGCTCTGCCAGTCGCTCGGCCTCTATAGCGACCAGCTCTTCCAGAAAAACGCTGAGTGCGAAATACCTTGCGAATGGAGGACTGTGCCTTTGTCAGTGTAGTAAAAACAGAGACGTGCTTACTTAGTTCTTTTATGAACTTGTCTCCAAATAACATGCCTTGAGCCTCTGGACCAAGTTCTTTAGTGCCCAATTCGGCAAGTTTGTCATCGATTTTATAAAGGACGGCCTTCCGCCGTTCAGTTGATATTGCCACATTGGCATTGCCTAAAAGGCATAAGGCTCTTTGTGCCCACTCTCGCACCATATGTGCATCAAATGTGCCACCTGATAAAGCCTCGTCTGCAATTATGAAGATTTGTATGAGTGGGCCCGCCACATCCATCAACTTGTCCTGAGTGGCTTTCAGACCCTGTTCTAGACCCTTACGGGGGTCTTTTCCTGACTTGGTTAGAAAGGTCACAAGAAAAGGGTCGAATTCGGGTGTATTGGCCACCTTGTCTGGGATAGAGGGGCGTGGGCATTCTGCCCTTAATTTGTCTCTCACCTCTTTTTCTAAAGGCCGACGGAGCCACATTCTGCAGTATTTGCCAATGTGGTCCGGGGGTGTCCATTCGGCCGATCTAGGGTGCCTGATGCATCTGGGGTCAAATAAAGGGCGGCCAGAGGTGTCAAATAAGGTATCCTCTTTCAAGTTAGGGTTTTCAGAGGTGAGATCAGACTCCAATTGGAATTCCTCTAGAGGAATGAGGGGGGTTCATTAGTTGCAGAATCGGAAGGGTAGAGGTCTTGGAATGTCTTATGAGGTGGAGCCTCAGTATCCGAGTGTTCTGCGTAGTATTCGTCTAATACGTGGAGATTATAATTAGAGGTTGAACCCTCAAATGCGTCAAAATCATGTTGGGAGGAGGTTTGCTTGGGTTTAGAATAGGGCACTTTAGGGTGTTTAGCAGGCGCTTTGCCTTTACCGGCGGTGGCGCTATCGCCTTTCCAAGGGTATTTGCGAGGGGCTTCTTCATGCTCTGAAGCGTGAGAATCCTCGGAGTCTGAGAGTTGGGTAATGGTCGCCGTAGGGGCTGGGATTGTCTGCTCGCGGAAAGCCGCTAAAGCTTTGGGTATAGATTCAGTAATGGCATTGAAAAGCCCAGCCTTAAGTTCGGCAGAAACTGCTGGTTCTGGCACATCCGACATAATGTCAGTAACAGTGGGGTCACCACAAAAGAAATTAATTATTATATTTACAATATATATAAAATGTTTTTATTTTTATTTTTTAATTTTAAATTTTTTAAAATTTATTTATTTATTTATTTTTTTTGTGTGCAGACAAATTAATTACAATGAGGCGGTGGACTTAGACTGCGTGTAAAAAAGCAATTATCCTGTAAAAGTGGAGTTCGTCCACAATTTATCAGTGGGGTTCACCCAGAGAGAGAAGGACAATAAAGTGTCCAAGATCTAATAACAGGTATGTGCCTGTGTTATCATATAGGGATTACCCTGTATAGAGACAGCAAAGGGGGTCACCCTTGAAGGAGAGGCTAGAGGGGGTCACCCTTAGAATAAAGGCTGGAGGGGGTCACCCTCAGAGTAAAGGCTAGAGGGGGTCACCCTCAGAATCAAGCAAGGATTTGTGTTGGCAGTTATGCTGAAATCTGCAAGAAAAATTGAAGTTTTGAGTATTGGGTATGTCTTTAATGTTGTAAAACTAAAGGGTCTGGGGCTTTAAGAGCGTCCTGCAGTGAGAGCCGAGATGCGAGGGAATCGCCGCGCATAAGCCTGCCACAAGATGGCGCTGAGAGGGAAGCCCGGGAAAAAAGCTCATAGAAATGGCCGCGGCATGAAAAAAAAGGCGGGACGCGTCTCTATGGAGACGGCAGGGCAACACACATTGTGTGTGAGGGAACTGAGCGGCTGAGCGGACCGGCAAAATGCCGGGCGCTGCAGGGAAAGCGTTAGTGCTATGGAAATTAAACTGACAGTACAACAAATAAAAGAGTGAGGAAATGTTGAGGTAAATTGAGTTTGTGGGCTGACTGGAGTGTCAGCCCATGTAACATAAATAAATAGAAGCAAAGCACAGAAACATAAAAGGAAAAACTGTATGAGAAATATTAAAATATTAAAATAATATACAATATATATTAGTCAGTTAAACTAGAGAATTTAGTAGGAGTATAATTAGAATAGACTCACCTGGGAGGCTAAGCAGCAAAGAAAGAGGAATTGGGAGGAGCCTGCTGACAGTTTATATTACTGTAATGCATACTGATTGGTTAAACTTTTTACACTGCTGTTAACTGTTTCTTTGCTGCTGGGAGTTACAGTAAAGAAAGATAAGCAAATATGAAGCCTCCTGTCTTGCCATAAAATTAAGAACTAGATGGAGGTTAAATTAAATCGGATCTGAAATACTTTCAGAATGAAATTAAAAAATTCATAGATATTAATGAAAATGGTACAGTCTCCTCCTCAACTTTATGGTGCACTCTAAAATGTTTTAAATAACATCAAAAGAGAAATAAATAGTAAAATATTAGCACAAGTAGACAAGGCCATTCTTCGCTTGAAACAAAGATGGTATCATAATAACAATAAAGTAGGGAAGGTCCTCACAAATAAACTAAGAAAAGATAAAAAAAACAAAAAACTATCTCTAAACTGATTATAAGTAATAGATCAGCATACTCTCCCAAAGATATAGTAGAAACATTCGCTAAATATTATGAATGAGGTATAAGGTATTTTATTTTTCAGTTTTTTTCTTTAGTTTAATCAGAGTAGTAATCATGTCGTTTATTATTTGCTTTAATATAGGTTTATTTTTTACTGTCAGATTGGACCAAAAAATCTTTGATATTTCCAATGAGCCCATATCTTTTTTTTCGAAATAATACCAATCTGATTGTTTAGTTTTCAGATTCAAACCGAGAGTGAAGTGACTTAACATTACTACTTCATGTAGGTGCAATAAGTTGGGAAATGCCACTCTTCCATCTTTAATTCTAGTTAAGATATTATTGGCTATTCTTGGATGTTTTCCCCTCCAAATATATTTTTTCCCTTTCAAATAAAGCTACAAATTTGCCCAATAAATTAGGATACTACTCTAATTAAACTAAAGAAAAAAACTGAAAAATAAAATACCTTATACCTCATTCATAATATTTAGCAAATGTTTCTGCTATATCTTTGGGGGGGTATACTGATCTATTACTTCTAATCAGTTTAAAGATAGTTTTTTTTTTTATCTTTTCTTAGTTTATTTGTGAGGACCTTCCCTACTTTATTGTTATTATGATACAATCTTTGTTCTAAGCGAAGAATGGCCATAAAGTTGAGGAGCCCCTCTGGAAATACTCTCTTATGATATAACTGATTTAAATTTCCAAAAATTGAAAATTTTAGGGATCCAAAAAATTTCAGACATCTTACAAGACAGACAGTTTATGCCCTCCGGTTTACTTCAACAAAGATATTTACTCCCCAACAAAGAGATATTTCCATATCTAAGAATTGAAAGTGATTTGCTAGATAAGGAATATGTTTCTTATCATTGGCTGAACGACCTGTCTTCCTTTTCTTACAATCAAAAATAAAAAAAGCCTATTCAAAATATTAACTCTTTTAAATTCCAATTGCCTGACATCGGGGGAAAGAAATCAAACATATACGAATTTCTAAATGGGAATATGAATTACATATGGTTTTTCCCATTGAGGCCTGATTAAAAGGCATTTCTCGAGTTACACGTACTATCCACTGTATCTCTTTAATAGAACTGCACGACAAGTTAATATATAGGTGGTATCTTACTCCAGCACAAAATTTCCAGAATCAACTCAGATGTTGGAGATGACACCAAGAAAAGGGTACCATAGCTCACATATGGTGGGAATGCACTGAATTAGCATATATTAAGTCTAAAAACTAAATAATTTTACAACAAATATTTAACAATAACAAATTTACCCCACAAATGTTTTTATGGAATATAGATTTTCCACATTGTAATAAGGCACAAGAATACTTAGTTACACATATTCTATTTGCAGCTAAAATAGTATTAGCACATAATTAGAAAACAACAAATTTAAATTGGATAGAAATAAGCAAGCAAATTTCATACCAATATAAAATGGAATGCAGTATCTTTATAATAGATGATACAGTGAAAAGAAACAAAAAATATTGGGAACCTTGGACAAATTTCCTGTCAACATAATTCTAACTTCCTTAAATTAAGATCAGGATCCACCTCTAACTCTCAAACATAAATATAAAGAATAAATGTCAATTCAAATTTAACATCCTACTATTCTGAACACTTGAGTATGAATGGGAACATTTAGGATAACATGTATTGTTTTGTATTGTATTGTTAATAATGATGTTAATATTATTCTGTATGCGTATTTTCACTAAATTATTCAAATTTGAAAAATTTGTGAATATTATCACGTCAGAAAAAGAAATTATTATAACTATAACTATATAATTATTATATAGCTTTTTTTCACAAATACAAAAATCTACAAATAAAAAGAACCAGCTCCAGGGTCATGGGTGCCAAGGCTCATTGATGCACCTGGGAACGAAAGCAAGCTTGTCTGGTCCGATAAAACAGAAGAGCTTAAATTGCTCAGAAATTTTATTTAATTAATTTAATGATAGAATGTTGTCATAACACTCAGTTTTCGTCTCTTTTGTACATTCAACCTACTTTCAGCCACACTGTATATTTGACTTTTGACTTTTTGCCTGACAGTGTGTCTTTCACAATTTATTGTAGGACCAAGTTTACTTTGTCTTCTGTTTTCTTCTGCATTTTTTTCTGGATAGATCTTGACTATATGTGGCTCACTGCCTTCTGTGTTACATCTTGTAGATTGCATTGT